ACAACCATTGGAATTACTTTCGCTTCAAGTAAAAATGTATGGTGTAGAGATTCAAAGCTCTATACCACCAGAAGACGACGGCGGATTCCTATTGACCAGTTTTCTATTGGCTTTACTGGAACATTCTTGCTGACGCTGTTTCCGATTCCAGTGAAAATGTGCTCAGCCTCCGTCCGCTGTATGATAAATAGCAGGAGAGCATGGCATCATCCTCACAACCATATTCACTCTAGTGAGTCAAGAAAACTCGTCGGCACATCCTTGAATGCTGTGTATATATTCTATATCTAGGCTTTTCGATGAGGTATAAAGTGATTTGGTTAGTTCATGTCATGTGTAAACCTCAAAAAATGTGGAGGTGAATGTATGTGTGTGCATATGTGCCTGCATGTATTCGCATACCTATAAAACTAACAGTTATGAATCATAGTAATTTGAACAGGAAAAGTAACGCCTGTTATCGGCCATCAAGGTTTGATGACCATCATCACTCTCTCACTCTATATATTTTACCCATTACTCTGATTGCACAAAGTCGAACACACATTTGGTTAGGCTGATGAGCTTTTTGTCTTCTTGTGAGAGAGAAAAAGTGGTTCTTAAAGTACATAAAAGTGACACAAAAGTGACCAGGTCAATAAAATAAAAGACTTGCTGAGACACTTCCTTTTGGCAGGTAGCTCAAGATTTTCATTCGAAATGGAGGTAAACGCAAAAATTATGAAACACGATATTTCTATAAAATATGAGATATATTCACCATATTTCATTTAAGGTGATGAAGAACTGGTAGTAGAATTTTGTCACAATGATATGAGTAGAGCTAACGCTTTCATTGAATTTCGCATAGCCTTGCTTTCTCAAAAGTTGTTCTCATTCAGGGTGCACCGTGGTTTCGAACTCGCCTAGGTCTTATCAACACCCCCAGTGGGAGTCGAACCGTGACACTGCAGAATGTGAGCTTGAGACATTCATTACCTTAAATGAACAAGGGTGAATTGATCTCATATTACTGATTTACTGGTAGTCTTGAAACTCTACTCTAATACGAAAAATATTTCTATAAACCCAACTTTTCTTCGCATAATCTAATTATGCAGATTAATCTTGGTTGCTTCAAATATTCTATTTAACTATTATGAGCTTGAGTCGATATAAAACTTTTAAATTTTTTATATATACACCGGTTTTTCACTGACATGTGCAAGCAGCGAAAAGAACTTTCTCGAGGCAGGTATGAAGACCAGGAACACGTGACCTCTATTACGGTCAAAGTCACCTTCCGCTGTAAAAAGC